TAATTTTACTTAATTGCTTGTCCCTTATTTATCTTCCATTATCACTGGCCTAGTCTTGTAAAGTTACCAACTTTTCTAGTAGTAGCATTTTCTCTCATTCTTTTATTCTAGTCAGCACTTGCATATTTTGAATTATACAAATCTATGGGTAAAATAATGCAAAATAAAAGCCTGGTATTTCAAGTTGTTACTTTTATGGGATTTTTTTAACTCCATATTTTTTTCTTTTTTCATTTTTATACTTTTTTTCAAGAAATGAAAGCAAATATGCTACAATTCCCCAGGAATGAGTAAATTCAAGACAATAGCTGTGTAATAATCATTAAAAACAAAAATTTATCTGAATTTAAAAACTGTAACTTGTTTTGATTTTGCCAAACTAAATTGGGGAGATATGAAAAAAGGTAATACAAAGCATTCTAACTTTTAATTTGAGTACAGACAACATGTTGCCTAATTTGTATTGATTTTATCTGCCAATCTAGATGCAATCACACTTCTAAACGTGGATTCCTGTAATTTGCTTTTCTATAAAATGTCACCAATGCATTAAATACTTTGAAAACAGTCTTTGTAAATCAATCTGCACTTATTAGATTTATTTAAACGATAACATTAGAATTCCATGCCGAGATTTAATTTGGTTTTAAAATAACTCCCTACATGCAGAACATTTCCAAGGGCAGAGAGGCTACTTGCCAATTATTTTCACGCCGTCAGTGCTAAATATGTTTAAATGACTGACTCACCTCCAGGCTGTGGGTTGTCTGCAGAATCCTCAGTTCAGTGGGATGCACAATTTTTACCTCAAAGTAATTTACAGGGAGAAAGAAAAAAATGCAGAATCACAGCCAAGTGAAAAGTAAAAGGTCTTACCTTGTTCATGTCAAAGGTATTATAAACTTAATCAACATGTTGATTGGCCTTTTGATTGAGACCTTGCAGACTCAAAAGTATCTTAAATTCATGCAGTGTTTGCCGGTCCCATGGATATTCCATAATAAACATTTTTTACCATACACAGGTTTCCTGTGCAGGAACTGCTGTCTGGCCACCAGCTGTAGATTGGCTATTCTCCACTGTGATACTCAGTCCACGGCCATTTTCTCTGGTTGTTTTTGAGTACATAATCTCTTGTAGCCCCTCACTCTTCACTACAATTCTTTTCAAGAGCCAATATAGGCTCTTGGAAAGCTACTCTAAAACTCTTAACAGTTACAGGCTAAATAAGGACAGAAAGCTAGTGCGATTAATTCATCTATACAGTTTTAACACCAAGGTCACTTACCACTAAGAGATGATATTGCACTTAGAGCCATCCAGAGATATGGTTTTCTGTGTAGAGCAGGAACAATAATTTAGTGAATGTAATCTTTGTTATGCTATTGGCCACACACTATGCTTATTATTGAGTGAACCAGTGGATGTAAGCAGAAGGACCTTTTCAGATGTGAACAGGCAGGTAATCTCATTACTATTTTACAGATGGGGAAACTGAGACTTCAGAATCTAAGTGATGTTTCAATGAACTTAGTAAATGGTAGAATGAAGTCTTCCTGCTTGCAGCTGAGAAAACATGGGCTCTAGTTCCATTGCTTACTGACGTCATTGAAACACCACTTAGATGGCTAAATCTCAGTTCCCCCACCTGCATAGTAGTAATAAGAGTTCCTGTCTCTGTTTCTTGTGTGTCTGTCTGTCTTTTTCTTCCTTTTTTCTTTTTCTCAAGTCTATATCTACAAATGCCCTCTACCTGCTACCTTTTGTCACTTCAATTCTCAAGCTAATCTTTTCCTAGTCAAGACTCAATTGCAAACTGACTTTAAAACTTAGTCAATGAACTTAAGTGTATTCACGGTTCAGTAATGGAAACAAATTGTCGTGAGTGGTCCTCAAGCATCTTGCTACCAACTATACTTAGAACCATTCCTCAGATGGAAATGGAATTCTGTTAATCCTAAAGTCTGGTTCCCCTCTCCTAACCTCACTCCATTATTTATCCGGTTCCTATTTTGGTTCATTTTGTAGTTGAGTCTCTGTGTTAGTCCTAACTGATTACCTATTTTAAAAAAAGATCCCATTTTCCAAGAACTGGAGCCACTGGTGCACAAAGAACTTCCTTGATAAGAAATAGGGGTGGTTATGGTAAATATGATTAATTTTGTTTAACACATACCAATGTAGACTTTCAATAGAACATTTCTATTTCATAAGTAGAGTTAATTAATAGATATATGATAAGGTCAAAGGACTTTGGAACTCATTCATTAAAGTGGGTAAGATTTCTTATGCAGAGTAAAAAGAAGGACTCAGGACTCAGTCAGCCCTGAAGATGACTCAGTTAGGAACTTTGAGGAATGTCCTAACATCATTCTCTGGGAATGTCTTTCTTCATTTTCTTTCTAAATGCCTACCAAAAAAGAAGATTGACTCCTTATCAGAATTACCACTAACTGTTATTAATCATCATGTTTATGTTAAAGAATAAATGGCACAAGAAGGTAATAAAAGTTTTCAAAGGGGGAAGAATATCCCTTGTGGAAGGAAAACTTGATAGGTCAAGAGTACAGGGACCTGAGACACAAAATCTGTATTTCCTCAAATAAATAATGCATATTTTATTATTTAGAAATTATGTATATTAAAATCTGTATGATTAATTGCTGATGCAGAAAAAAAATTAATATATTTCTAGTATGAGAATTCTTATGTTGAATACAATTTTGCTATCTAAAAATCAGGGATCTTTCTATACAAAACACCAATCAGTCATGAGAATGGGGAAATACTTTTTCACTTATGATAGGCCAGACAATAAACCTAATTGATTAAAATAAATATAACTAGAAATTTACAAAACTTTTAAGGAAAAAGTTTAAATAGCATAGAAAGGTATGTCTTAGTCATGAGTTTAGAAAGACTCCTCTGTTCAGAAGGCAATTCTCTATATAACTATTCTATACTATTATTATAAATGCAAGCAAGAAAATAAAATTTAGAGGCTGGTGGTGACTGAAAAATCTAATTTTAAGTTTTAATGAGAATTAAACAGGCAAGTATATAAAAGATATTCTGGGAAGTAAAATTATTAACTAACTTTACCAAAACAACATGAATTTGGCATAAGAAAAGATGGAATAATCAATGAAAAAACAGAGTTATTTTAGAAGTAAGCTCAAGTACCAAGAAGAACTTAACATATAGTAAGGGCAGCACTGAATCATGAGAAAGGACTGACTACTCGATTAATAATTCTGAGACAATGCTGTGGCTATGTGGAAATATACACATGCACACATGTGCAAAGTGAGATTTTTAACTGACTTCTTATACCTAATTAAATTCTAGATGAATCAAAGATTTAACAATATAATTACTAAATTATTATAAGAAAATAAAGCAAAAATTATAATTTTAGCACAAGAAAGTCCTCTTTAAATATAACTAGAGAAGGAATAAACAAAAGGATATTAAACAAACATTTAAAAAATCTCATATGACTTGAAATACCATAAAAATATTTAAAATAAAAAATATGAGAAAATATTTACAATATATATCATATGAAAAAGATCTTCTCCATAATATGAAAATAGTTTGGATAAATCAGTAAGAAGTCAGTAGGACACCAAATAGAAGAGCATACAAAAGCTAAATTTTAAAATTTAAATAACATTTGAATATGAAATGACACTAAGGAAATTATTTGATTAGTAAGATAAGACTTGACAATTCACTGGGTAGGTCAAGATGTGAGGAAAAAGGCAGTCATACAGTATGTGGGGGGTATATATTAATAAAATTAGGCAACTATCTATTAATAATAAAATGTGCACATCTTTTGACCCAGAAATTTCTCCTTCTGACAGCTGACAGATACAATTGCAAATGTGTGAAATTAACATATATATAAGTATATTCATTGTTATGTGTGTATAAATCCAAAAGGACAAAGAAATTCTTAAAAGTCCATTGCAAGGGAATGGTTAAATACATGCTGGTATTACCACAGAATAGAATAAGCAGCAGGTAAGCATATTGAGAGATTATCTCATTATCTCTCAGTACACAGATATTATTACATATATTGGCTCCGATATGTAATAACCTTGAAAGTATTTTGAGTGGAAAAAAGCCACAACATCTTTTGGATTCTGTTACATTCACATTTTCAGCTATATAATGATTAACATGGCATTATGTATATTGACTGGGGACAGATTCACTAGAAATTGCTAGTGAAAACATAATAATGTAAAGTTTCCATAATGAAGCTGGCACAAGCACACCTCTTGGGAAGAGTAATTAGGTGACTAAAGATAAAAATCAGATGAAAAATTTTCACTACATCCCATTTCACACATTCCAAGTTTTGTACTACGTGCATGACTTAAATTAAAATTATACAATTCCACAAGTGAGTATTAACTGTTTTATTGTTCTTGTCCAAAGTTGAAGACATTTTTAAACAAATGAAGCAATCAGTTATTAAGGAAAGTATAAAACAATAAGGAAAGTGTAAATTCAAAAACACAATTGCAATATGTGTATATTAAGTTTGGGGAAGTTATGCTTTCTGATTTACTGAGTATTGGCTGTATTAGTAAAATGTCTTTCTTCTTCATTAAAAGAGGGATTTTTTTTGTTCTTTGTATATTGATTTTGAAAACTACTACTTTCAAGATTTTTCAGTTATTTAAGTAAAAGTAAAATTTAAGCTTAAGTGACATTTTCATTTTTTCTTAGTGACTCTGATGGGAATTAGAGAACTCTAGGAATTATTTCCGAGAGAACAGGAAACATTAGGATATAGGATTGGGGACATTTTTTAAGGATTAGGGACTTTGTAAATTACAATTCAGTCCCTATCTCTATGTAATTTTTAAACAGGCTAAACTTTACAATAACAATAAAAAGGAAATTTTTGAAAAAAACCTTTGAAAGCTTATTAGCTTTTTTAAAAGGCAATACCAATTCTGACTTTAATATTAAGAAGTCCTTTAGTTGTTCTCTGAAGGGAGAATATGCCCTGCATCTAGAGTCCCTTTATTTAAAGTCTTCTGGAAATGCAAGTTTATCTTCTTTAAGCAAATCTTCTAAATAAGCATCAATCTGCTCCAGGTCACCTGCTGGACCACCCTGGAAGAGAGGAGCCAGTCACACCATGGGAATAAGCTGCAGCCTTGTCACCTGGGAAGCCTCCCAAGAGTCATGTCTTAGCAACAAAACGCCTTATATTTGAATAATGCTTTTAACCTTTCCAAATGTTTTCTCATTTAACCTCATTTTATGCTCACAAGTGGTTAAGAATTTGAATATTTTTTCATTTGACTATTTTTTTTATTGTTGTGCTGGGGTACACTGTGGCATTTACAAAAGTTCTTACAATATATCAAGTATATCATACTCGAATTCATTCCCTCAATTGTTCTCCTTTATCTCCTCTTCCCCCTATTCCTGGAATAGTTTCAACAGGTCTCATTTTTCCATTTATATACATGTGTACAGAGTATTTGCACCATGTTCACCCTTCTACACCTTTTCCCTACATATTCCCTTCTCCCACTGGTACCAACCCTCCAGACAGGACCCGTTCTGCCCTCCTGTTGAATATATGTATTTTTTTACTCATTGGAAGTTAGTTTCATTGGCATTTTCCTCCTTTTAAAAATAGCTTGCCATATTTCTAAAGTCCCCTCCTCCCACGGTATCATCCTTCTCTGTTATAGGCTCTCATCCTTCAGTTTTAAACTTCTGAGTTTTTAGCTTTGCAGGCAAAAAAAAAATTAGTAGGCAAATTTTAACTTTTGTTTCTCCTCTTTCCACTGTAGCATCTTTCCCCACAACCCATGGCTTGCTATCCTACTTTGTCCTCTTCTCTCCTTCCTTCTTTTTTCCCTCTACCCTAGATCTCTATTGGGTCATATCTTGTTCTTATTCCCTGGGCATGCTCTCTCTTATTGTGAGGTCTAAATATCATTCTCTCAAGCCCAACCATGGTATCAACTGGCTCTCTAAATGTACAACTGGAAAAGAGAAGTGTTAGGATGGATCTTTCAGAAACCATCCCAGCTTTACAACTCTTTCTACTAAGTGTCCAGGACCACCATCCTAGTCTCTCCTTCCCATCTCTGCCTCCATTTAAATGTGGTTTCTTCTACTCTGGATTTGCTCAGTCCTCTGTCAAGGAGCCAAGCTTTGTGAGTGGGGTCTTGCTCCTGCAGATGGGTTTCCATGACACTAATATTTACCTAGATCTCCAAATATAATAGTCTGGAAGGGTACCCTATGATCTTGACACTGGCAGGTCCCCATCTGTTACGTAGACTCTAATATTTTGGCTATTTTTCTCTGCCAGGAAAACTTGACTCCTTGTAGGACTTTTGATTGGTTTTACGTTCAGTTTCTTTATATGCCTGTCCCATATAGAGACTCTATCTGCTTTGGGTCTACCTCATTTCAATTCTCGGCTCTTTTCTACTGTCATTGCTCTAGTATTTGAGGACAGTAAACATGGGAGTTTCAAGTGGGGCAGAGCCTTTTGAGTAACTCTCCACTAATACTAAATGAAAAGTTTCATATTCTGCTGGTTAAAGTCTTTCATGTCCCCACCAAACTTTCTCAATAAAGTAAATTAATGTAATTACCCTAGCCATTCTGGAAAACCCATAGAAAGTAAATCATTTTTTAATTAGCAAACTATTTTCTTTTTACTATTTCCTACCTAAACATAGATCTATTTCTATGATAATAGAATTTCTTTGGCCATTCTGGTGTTTCCTATTACTGAAAACACAATCATCACTGAAATCCTACCACTTTCCATTTTCATGTATAAATGTCAGACACAAGAACCAAAGAGGAGCCACACTCAAATCCTACTCTCACAGTAATCACAAGCTTGAAAAATTGGCTAAAGTGGTATTGTTAATAGAAGCACAAATACAATTACCATAATGTAAGAACAGTTAGCATTAATCATTCTTTTTTATTTTAATAATGTAGCATTTTAATCATGGCCTAGATCACCAATGGGAAGGGAGATTTCTTTTCTGACAACATGTTAAAAATTAAGCAAAGACATTTTCTGCATTTCATTTTGTACTTCATGGAAGAAAAAAAAATCTAGATAATTCAATTGTAAGAGGAATGTTTTTGAAGAGAAAATGAACTCCGACCTTGAAATTTTCATGGATAAGACTGAAACCCAAGCAATCTGACTAAAATCCAGGCTTATCATACTCTATACTGATTTATGGTGAGTTTGCATGTCTCTCCCCCAGCTCCTCCATAGGCAAGGTCATCCTCAATCCTCCAGGGTTTCTATGGGAGGCTCAGTTTCTGTTCTCTCACACTGCATGGTCCAGGAAGATCCTGTCTCCTGCTCCAGCACTCAGAGCCTATAATCTGAGGACAAAATGCCACCTGCCCAAAAATTCACTATTCTGTATTGTATCTCTCCATTTATTTTTAGAACTTAAAAAAAAAAAATTCAATCATGGCTACTGTACTTTAATCTTTCTATACCCAATATTTATTTCTATGTGCTTTCATAAAAGATGGACCATTTCTCAATTCAGTCCATCATTGAAGCTCAATTTAGTTAAAATATACAAACAGAAGTCACAGTATACTTATATGATGTGTCCTAACCTCTCCATCCTTTTTTCTAAGATTAGAAGGATTTCTTCTTATTTATGTATAAAGGTAAAAATAAAATATCTTGCTTACTGAAAAACTTGAAAAATATTTCCTACTGGATGCATGCTATTGAAGAGATATCAAATGTGATTGTCTACCAACAGATTCTGATGTTTCTTAAGATAAAAAGAATAGAGCTTTTAAAAATGTTTAACATATACCTTTAATATACCTTCATTTATTTATTATTTCAGTATCACTATAAGGGCAGCAAAGCAGGGTTAGGTGACTTGTTCAAGGCCAGTAGCAAGTGACAATGTTAGGAGGTGACCTAGCGACAGGATCTTTCCATAGGGTACATTGCTTCTGCTCACAAACAATTTCATCACTCACCAGCTGAAGTTTCTGCAACAACACTGCCAGTTTGGCACGAAGATTATTCAGTTTTTCCTCAGCAATTTTTCTTTTTTGTTCACATTGTCCTAGCGAGACTTCATTAAGTATTCCTCTTCTATTTGCATCATAGATTATGGACTGCATTTTTCTCTTCAGCTTTTTTTCGTATTGGACCATGTAAATATTCTGGACCTGGGAATATTTTAAAAATAGTTTTAGTATATTTTTAAAACACTACTATTCTTCCTAACATCACAAGGCAATTTCATATTTCAACTCTGCCCTCAAGTGTCATATCAATTCTGCAGGTGTGACAAGTGTCCAAATTGTTGATGCCCTTAAGGAGTTTAGTCTCTGATGGAAGAGGAAGATAGAAGGGGGAAAATGTACAATATTCCAGTAATCATAATATAAGGACTATTTATAATTTTAAATAAATTAATTATAATATAGTCCTTATAATATAATGTAATATAATATTTATATAAGTATTTATATTATAGTCTCTAGTCCTTATATTATAATATAATATGTAACATTTATAATTATAATAATAAAGTAGACTTGAAGACCTCTGCTTTGGAATGAAGAAAAACCCCATGAAAGTTGGATTTGTTCTCTCACCAGTGATATAAAATTATTCAAGTCATAAAAGGGCAAGTGTACCAGTAACTTATAATGACAGATTACCAATCACTTGGGATGCCCTGAAGATGATGTGGTGTTATTTATAATTCAAATCTGTAGTGTCCATAAAGCACAGAAGCTGTGGAATAAGAAATTCTGCTCTCTCACTCTCTTTGGGCTCTTCACTCTGATGTAGAGTATGTAAAGCAATTGCCTGATGCTAATTCAAGGGTCTTGGTTATTTTCCAAGATGGTATGTGATGCCTGAGGCCCTATGAAGCAGAAAGATGTAATGGAAAGGCCAGATGCTTCAATTTTAGAATGACAATAATTGCTTGTATCTACATTTTGATAGGATCAGGGGGAATTCTGAGCAAAGAGATAGAGGAAAAATCCTATTGTGGTAAATATTTTAATGTTTCTTTGATAAGGATATTTCTGGTTTGGAATATGACTGGGTTGCAAGGAAAATTGTAAGGTAGTCTCATTTTTCTTCTGGGCCTAGCTTATTTTTCCCTTGCCAACCTCTTACACATTAGCTAATATGTGAAGACCTCTCCCATGCATTGTCCTCATCATCTGTTAGGCATTCACTACCCTCATGAGTTTCTCTTCTTTCTATAAATCCCTTAACAAACAAACAAACAAATTTTGACAGAGCTGTAGGTTTGTTTAATAACCATTTACTATTTCCTTAATTCAAGGCTTTGAATTTAATCTAAGTAATACAAAGATATATAAGGTAGTCTTTGACCTCAAGAACTTTCTAACCGAAAGCCAGCAATAATATAAATGTGCAAATATTATATCTTTCGGGAGAAAGAACATTGTGCCACCAACTAACGCTCATATATCAGAGTTGAGAAGAGGGTGAGCATTAAAGTCTTCACTTAGAGTACTTGACCTGGATTTGTGTTCTTAACTTACCCTCTGATTAGTTGCATGTTTCATATCCTATTAATTGAGAGGAGCATATAGGAGCAAGGACAAAAACAGTATTCCGTGTTGGCAAACACTGGTCCTCTGTGTGTGTGTGCATGCACATGTATTTGAAGATGTGGCTAATTCTGAGGTTTGTAGATGGCTATTTAAAGAAATTTTAGATTTTTTCATTATGTGAAATGAAGTAAGCCAGATTAAGAAAGACAAATATCATATATTCTTTCTTATATGCAAATTCTAGACCTTAAAAAAATGAATGATAAGTGTGTAAAATGGGGGAACTGTTTGGGGGTGGGAACCAGCAGAAGAGGGCAGAGTGAAGTGGGTATAAATATGATCAAAGTACTTTATATGCATGAATGAAAACAGAATAATGAAACCAGCTAAAAATTGTTCAGAAAATGGGGAGGGAGATAAGAAAGAGTAATAGAGGGGATGAATTTGATGAAAGTATATTATTTGCATTAATGGAAATACCGCAATGAAACCCTTTTGTAATCGGAGAACAGAAGGGTACAACAGGTCCTGTCTAGGGGTTACATCAGTGGGAGGGGGGAGGATGTGGGGAAAGGGTGTGGGAAAGTGAATATGGTGTAAATACTGTGTACACATGTATGTAAATGGAAAACTGAGACCTGTTGACACTATTCCAGGAATTGGGGGAAGAGAGACACAGGAGAATGATGGAGGGGGTGAATTCAAGTATGATATATTTGATATATAATACTTTTATAAATGCCACAATGTACCCCTAGCACAACAATAAAAAGAAATTTCATAAAAAAAGAAGCCTCTTGGTAAATTAATATACACTAACAAAAAATAAGAGGTAAAAAAAGAAGTCTTAGATTTTCAGAGTCTTAAACTGTCTGGAATCTAGTGTAAGTCACTGACAATTAGATTCTGAAAGCTCTGATCAGGCTCTGCCTCGTTCTTCCTTTCTTTTCTATGTTCCAGGATTCTTTTTTCCAAGAATATACTAAGCTCATTCCTGCCTCAGTCCCTTTTCCCTTGCTGCGTTCTCAGTTTGGTAAATTCAATCTCACAGCTGCACAAGGCCTCCTCCTGCCTCAGGTCTGTTTTCAAACACCACCTCTTCAGAATCTGAAATCACCTCTTCCTCAATATGCCATTACTGTCAATTCCCTGGCCCTGAAAATTACTTGACAGCCATAGAAATGTACATGCTACTGACAATTTGAATGGACCTGAAGTGATGCTGAATGGATAAAGCGAATGCAAAAATGACATGAACTGTATGATTCCACTTCTGTAACTTTCCTGAAATGGCAGAATGATAGAGATAGTAGTGCCAGGAGTTGGAGGGGTTTGTGGAAGGCAAAGGTGGGTGTGAGCATAAAAGAGTAGCACTAGGAAGATATTTATGGTGATGAGAATTTTGTATCTTGATTTCAGTAGTGATTACCTAAATCAACCCATATGATAAAAGGATGTAGAACTATACACACCCATTTTACCAATTTCAGTCTCCTGGTTTTGATATTTTTGTATTGTTATGCAAAATGTGACCCCCGGAGAAAACTGAGGGATGAATACACAGGATCTCTTTGAAACTATTTTTTGCAACTTTTTATAAATCATGCAAAATTAAGTCAAAAGACAAAAACGAAAATAACCCCCAACACAGTTAATATAGTATATCAAGGACATCTACCCAGCACATTACATTCAAAGCCATACTCAGTGTCTCTAAGTTCATCCTTCTATAATCTACATTCCCTTCAAACACCATAATCTACTTTTTTAAAATTTATTTTTCTCCTTTTCTCAGGCTAATCTCTCCAAGAAATGTCCATAAGAGGTAAAAACTTTGACAACTTTCAAAGCTCACTGGAAAAAGGACATCTATTAACATTTTAATTAAGGTGAGAAAAGAAATTGAACCAGTTGAGAGGCTTAGTTTTGCTGGTTAAACCACTCTTGTAGACATATTTGTGACAGATCAGAAATGGAATTCTTTCCAAACTACTAATTCAGAAAAGAATTATGATTTGAAAAAACAAAAGTTTATTGAACTGATATTTTAACTTTCTGCTTTGAATTTAGAAAGTCCAGCCCTATCAGTTTTTTTATCTCTATAATCTTAACAAGTTTGTGCAAAATAAGACAGGACCATGAGATTTATACCATGCAAGATTGGTACCATGCAAGTGGAGATATATCCATGAAAGCATTTCTGTAGGCAGGCACACAACAGGAATAATAAACTTTGATTCAATGCACAGATATTAAGATCCAGGTACATTCAATGGTACTAAATAACATCAGAATACAGAGTTTGATAAAACAAGATTACTAACTTTGAGGACTATATTATAGTTGAGGGCACGAAAATGAAACCCAAAAAGTATTATGATATAGGTTAAAAATGTTGATTAATGATAAAACCAAGGTTCCCTTGGAATACAGAGAGGTCAAGATTAATTTCACATAGCAAGACTGAGGAAGGCTTCATGTAGAAAATTATATTGACCAAGATCTGTATGGGGCCTTCAAGAAACCCACCATGGACTGAGAGAGTAGCTGAGTGTATTCTGGGAGACAGTATGGGGTAAACTCAGGTAGGCTGGGGTACATAGGCTGTAGCAATGCTGAGATACTCTTTTGAGATGCAGCAATGGCTTGTGGGAATAAAGAATAAAAGGTGGTAGCTGCAATCAGGTGGTACAGGGACCCCAATACTGTCATGGAACATCAAATACTATGATGGTAGTTACAGAAACCACCCATGTGGTCAGAGTGAGGTGACTTATACTGAGTCTTCCTATGCTTTCATGTCACTCTCATTAAAAGTACACACCCTAAAGCAAATTGCATAGTTTGTCCTTTACAAGGATTTCAAGAAATGACTTGTATGGCCTTTATAACTATCCAGCTATAGCTCCAAATCATTTGGAAAGTCCTTTAAGACCAAGCAGTTTCACTGATAGGAAAGTCATGATTCCAGTTGTTCAGTATCTCAGTTTCAACAAGCACTCCTGGTTTCCTAATTGCTTCTCTTGCTTTGATTCCTTGAATCATTGAACATTAAAGAAAGTCTATCCATTTTTTATGCTAACACTGGTCTCCAGGAATAAACACTTATCCTATTCACTCTGAACTCCAAGACCTACAACCTCACTCTATTACTGACAGCACAGATATTGAGAAAAGTATCATTTAGGAAGAGATATAAAAGGACATACATAAACTTGAATAAACTGAGATGTGTGACAACCTAATTCTTAGCAAACTTCCAAGTTTTGCAGTGCAAGTTTTTAAACTGGATCCCTCTAACCAGTAGGTGAAGATCTGAAGAAAAATCCAGTTGTTGATAATTATTCAAGCTGATTGTCACAAACTTTGATTTGCAGAAATCTAGCCCACATAGGTACTAAGCAAATCTGTCACACACACACACACACATACACAGAGAGAGAGAGAGAGAGAGAGAGAGAGAGAGCAAGAGAGAGAGAGAGAGAGAGAGAGAGAGAGAGAGAGAGAGAGAGGTTTCACTGTCAGTACCTCTACCATACATATCTTATGATGTAATGACTCTGGTTAGAACTAACTCTCCTTTACCCATAGGCTGAGAAGCTATAATATACCTGCTGCAAGTAATATGTGTAGACTCTATCACAAGGATCAAGTTATTAAAGTCTGGGTATAAGAGTAAAATGGGAAAGTGATATGGAAGAGAACTTTAGAATAGGACAAATCTGCCTTTAAACCTCAAATCTGATACTTGCATCATGATATTTAGATATTATTATTTGAATCTCCACTTCCTCATTATTAAAATAGAGGTAGAGTTTCCCACCTTACAAAACTGGATGGTTAAATGAAGTAGCATATAGGAATGGCCTACTTTAGTGCCTGGCTCTAGTGGTTCTCAATCACAATTTTATATTAGTTGGTTAAGATAAGGTTGCTAAAATAGAGTCCAAAACATACTGAAAATTAACTATGTCTTATACTCTGGTAAGAAATAATGAGAAGGAAATTCTTCAAACTGAAAATGTTTAATTACTGCTTTTTTAACAAAACATTACTCAGAAAATTAATTTACTTTTCAGTTGAACGTAATGGGAAATGAACTACAATTCCTCTCTCTTGGTGCTTCTCACAGTCATCTTAGCTACTCGGTAAAAAACATTAGAGGGAAACATAACAAGCAGGGCTGTTAAATTTAGGCACACTCCAAACTTTGAACACTCCCTTTGTAAGAAAAGAACCTGGTTTAGATTCGAGTTTTCCTAGTCACATTTTTTTCTGAGAATTCATGATTCTTTTTTTTATTGTAAAAGAAGAAAATTCAAGGGTATACCATTACCTAAAAAAGAAATGAGGCAGTACCTCATTTCTTACAACTGCTTACAGTTGTGCTTTGCACAACTCTAGGGATGCAATTCACTTCCCACAATTAACAGATTAATAGATTTACATATTATTATGGTAGCTTTCCAGAATATGGTTTGTAAGCGTGAGCTCTGGGAAGAACATGCTAACCTATGTGCTGTTGATAGAACTGCTGTGTAGGTTTGAAAAGCAGGTGATTAAAGTAATCTACAGGTTTAATGCAATTCCCATCAAAATTCCAATGACATTCATTAAAGAGATCGAAAAATCTACCGTGAAATTTATATGGAAACACAGGAAGCCACGAATAGCCAAGGCAATACTCAGTCAAAAGAACAATGCAGGAGGTATCACAATACCTGACTTCAAACTACATTACAAAGCAGTAGCAATAAAAACAGCATGGTACTGGCACAAAAACAGACATGAAGACCAGTGGAACAGAATAGAGGACCCAGATATGAAGCCACAAAACTATAACCAACTTGTCTTTGACAAAGGAGCTAAAAATATACGATGGAGAAATAGCAGCCTCTTCAACAAAAGCTGCTGGGAAAACTGGTTAGCAGTCTGCAAAAACTGAAACTAGATCCATGTATATCACCCTATACCAAGATTAACTCAAAATGGATCAAGGATCTTAATATCAGACCACAAACTCTAAAGTTGATACAGGAAAGAGTAGGAAATACTCTGGAGTTAGTAGGTATAGGTAAGAACTTTCTCAACGAAACCCCAGCAGCACAGCAACTAAGAGATAGCATAGATAAATGGGACCTCATAAAGCTAAAAGCTTCTGTTCATCAAAAGAAATGGTCTCTAAACTGAAGAGAACACCCACAGAGTGGGAGAAAATATTTGCCAGCTATACATCAGACAAAGGACTGATAACCAGAATATATAGGGAACTTAAAAAACTAAATTCTCCCAAAACTAATGAACCAATAAAGAAATGGGCAAGTGAACTAAACAGAACTTTCTCAAAAGAAGAAATTCAAATGGCCAAAAAACACATGAAAAAATGCTCACCATCTCTAGCAATAAAGGAAATGCAAATTAAAACCACACTAAGATTCCACCTCACCCCTGTTAGAATAGCCATCATTAGCAACACCACCAAAAACAGGTGTTGGAGAGGATGTGGGGAAAAAGGAACCCTGTTACACTGTTGGTGGGAATGTAAACTAGTACAACCACTCTGGAAAAAAATTTGGAGGCTACTTAAAAAGCTAGACATTGATCTACCATTTGATCCAGCAATACCACTCTTGGGGATATACCCAAAAGACTGTGACACAGGTTACTCCAGAGGCACCTGCACACCCATGTTTATTGCGGCACTATTCACAATAGCCAAGTTGTGGAAACAGCCAAGATGCAACACCACTGACGAATGGATTAAGAAAATGTGGTATCTATACACAATGGAATTTTATGCAGCCATGAAGAAGAACGAAATGTTATCATTCACGGTAAATGGATGGAATTGGAGAACATCATTCTGAGTGAGGTTAGCCTGGCCCAAAAGACCAAAAATCGTATGTTCTCTCTCATATGTGGACATTAGATCAAGGGCAAACACAACAAGGGGATTGGACTTTGAGTACATGATAAAAGCGAGAGCACACAAGGGAGGGGTGAGGATAGGTAAGACACCTAAAAAACTAGCTAGCATTTGTTGCCCTTAACGCAGAGAAACTAAAGCAGATACCTTAAAAGCAACTGAGGCCAATAGGAGAAGGGGACCAGGAACTAGAGAAAAGGTTAGATCAAAAAGAATTAACCTAGAAGGTAACACACATGCACAGGAAATCAATGTGAGTCAATGCCCTGTATAGCTATCCTTATCTCAACCAGCAAAAACCCTTGTTCCTTCCTATTATTGCTTATACTCTCTCTACAACAAAATTAGAAATAAGGGCAAAATAGTTTCTGCTGGGTATTGAGTGGGGGGGAGAGAGAGGGGGTGGAGTGGGTGGTAAGGGAGGGGGTGGGGGCAGAGGGGAGAAATGAACCAATCCTTGTATGCACATATGAATAATAAAAGAAAAAGGTTAAAGAAAATGAACTTCTAAAACACATAAGAGAAATAGTCCATTAAGAAGTAGTAACATGTGAAGTATGCAGGAAAAACACACAAAACACGTATGTTACCTTAAGCAACACAAGAAAATTCAGGCCTCAGAAAGGGGTGAGTGATGATGTCCAGAAAGGCTGGGATACCATGTTCCTATAGGACTGAATTTATCTCCAGAGCCGTGTTCTTTCTTTTCACAAGGAAAAGGGCCTCTGTGTATGAACACACTGGCTGAACTGAACATTTGTGCTTTGAATTTGTATAGTCTCACTAGGCATGCCAGTGTGCATGGTCCTAACAAGAAGTAAATGAAGTTCAAAGTAAAACCACCTTGTGCAAAACACAGTTTAGCATCTCACCTCAGTGGCTATATCACTTCTGAAGGAAAACAAGAGCAAGACCCATCTCTGCCTAAAGATAGAGCCACAAAGCTGCATGGAAGATGTGGTATTCTGAACATTTTCAGCACTTATCCCACCAGGAATCAGCTGGTTTTGTGAAAGGACTACTGGCCTGTGAACTTGTTCTCTCTCAAACATCTATTTTTCTTTATTAGAAACACAAATGCAAAGCTAAGTCAGGTAGGCTCAAATTAAGCATATTTTTACGTAAACAAAGGCTGCAAAATTAACAGTAGATTTTCACAAAAGAAACTTATAAAGAATGAATGTCATAAGCAAAATAAATTCATAGGACAGGTACCAGATATAACAATTAATGGTGTAATGCAATCATGTTAATAAAACTGTGTGTATTTGAAACAAAAAAAAAAAAGAAAGAAAAAGAAAAGAAGGTGATGAGAACTAACATCTCAGTTACTGATCCTGGTGCCGTGAAAAGTTGTTGCACCTAGATGTCTACATGATGAGGTGTGAGCCTCAGTGGTCATCTCAGCTCCAACATGAATCCCTCACATATGTTTGTCCAAGTTTACCTCTTGAGGCCCCTGTTCTCCAGTATGAAATAAGGGAATTGAAGGCATAGGATTTTTAAAAACTGTTTCTGTAATAGAATTGAAAGATACTATAGGCTCTTCCCTCTTCCCCCCAGGAAATCTTTAAAAGCATATACACAACACTATTTGACAACTGATAAAAATTCTACTCAGAGAGAGAGAGACAAAGGTTATAATAAAATAAACAAAAATAATAACATCACAAACATGGATGGTTTGGAACTATACATAAATTTATTTAAATTCCTTTTATATATTAGTATAAATAATTTTATAACTACTTAATGGAAAAATCATAAATTTAAAAACTATTGATATGATACTAGGAAAAACAGAGGTATCAAATTGTCTGAAATAATTTAAAACTTTAATCTACAATTTGTCTAAGTCTAGTGTTTCAATGATTCAGTACATATATTTCTTATAGACTGAGAATGTCTTATTTCTTGTTCAAAATACTCCAAGTGTTTCATATGCTTTATGTTGTAGAAACATTTGCATTTTAAAATTCAAAAGATGTTGCTTTATAACATTTGATATACTACCAATTAATCTAAGTCTTGATAAGTAAATGTAAATTTGATTCCCTTCCAAACCTAACATGTGGAAATATTATTTCTCCTTTGCAATACAGGGTCATTTAGAATACGAATGGCTACATTGAAAGGAAGCTTACCTGGTTGAAACATATTTTCAGCTTTTTGTTTGTCTGCTCTGGGCAGTGCTCCAGCTGTTTTTATAAATGATAACAGAAAAGGATATTAACTTTGGAGAATGAGCTGTCTGCAACAGAGTTACAACATATAAGGATGTAGTATTAAAAAGCATCAAAGCCTAGAACTGGCCAACATTGGTACTTTGGGTTTTTAAGCATGGGTCCAATTAAATTAATTAACTAAATTATACCCCACTTTATCCCCCAAACAAGGATTAAGGTAGCTTAAACAAATAAATACAGCATTGTTAAAAATGTGCAGATTAAAAATCAAGATGAAGGAAAAATAAATGATAAAATAACAAATACTGAAAAGGTGATGTGAAGAAAGCAGTTGTTGGAGTCTGGATATTTTAGAAGGCAGTGCCAGAGAAAAGACTAGGACACACTAGTGTATGGGACAATATTGAAAATCAGACACAAGATAATGTCACCTAGAAATGGCACTTAGTAAAGAGAAGAATGTGGTTCAGAAATGAGCCTTCAAACACAACTTCAGAATAAGGAAAAGAGTTGCTATAAAGAAGATGGGAGGGAGGGAAGCAGGGAAATGAGAAGTGTGTGGTTATGGGAAACATACACAGAAAGTGCCTCAAGGTGGAAGGAGTGGGCAACTGGATTGAAAGCCTCTGGGAAGTCAGGTAAGATAAAAAAGTGACTGCTGTTATTTCTTAACCCAGAGACCATCAGTGACTCCTACAAGATCAGTTCCACTAGGTAATGCAGATAGAAGCCCTGCAGCAGAGGATGAGTTAAGAGAAAGTAAGGAGGAGAAACGATGATTGTAGATTAGGAAATCAGGCAAAAACCAGGCTCAGCTGAGGTATATGGTACATCTGTCTGATTAACAACTAACTTGTGCTCTTTTTACTGAGAGCCTTTCCATGTATACACTTCAATTCCACAAGCAGCACCAAGCATGAGGTGAGGTGGGGGCCTCCCATGCTCCTGTAGATGTCTGCTCTTCCCTCAACTCTGAAGCAGCTGTGCTGGTGGGGGGCATGTAGCAGTCCTCACTCAAAATCACCTTTGTCACCCCAGGCCTGCAAGACTGAGCCGTATGGGGACACTCCATGTTGGAGCACAGCCCATGTGAGGCTCAGCCTTTGTACCCTGGGTAGCTTACTGAAGTCTTCCTTCCAATCATACATGGTACTGTATGGTAAAAACAGTTGGCAAACACAGATTTGATAAATATGGTTTCTTCATCTTCCCCAGTAATGTGTGGTGAAAACAGTGCTCTGGAATCCAGTGCAGTAATTATGCAATCCTTGGCTCAGCTCCTCCTGCAGGAGGCTGGGGAAGTGTATCTCAAGAATAGAAAGTCTGTTTTTAGTGGTGGAGAGGGAAGTCTCTGCAATCAGCCATTCTGTCTGTAAAATCTGCTCTACCTTGCTTTGTCCATGGCTACAATAATTTCACAGGCATCTTTAAATAAGTCACTCATTTCTTATGAAAATCTCCAGCTTCATTCACTTATGCCCTACTAGGTCCTCTTACTGGTAACACTTTATAGTTTTCTTCATTGAAGATTAAACTCAGGCTACTTTGTCATTCCCTCAGAGTTCCAAAAATGTCAGCTCACCTCAGGATCTTCTATAAGTTCTTCCACAGATGTGCAGTCAAATTCTGATGCTAACTGACACTTCGGAACAAAATACAGAAGAATCTCCCTGGGAAGATAAGCATAGCAGAAACAGGATTATACCAGGACAAGAGAGACAGTGCTTACCTGTCAGAATTTAGTTTGTCTCCCTGGGATTAAACATTCTCACAACAGTGAGCATTTGTTTCTCCCAAATATTTTATTTTTATCATTGGCATCAAAGTATTCTTCAGGAAACATAGATTGGGGAGAGGGACTTGGGGGTGGCTGAAGAAGGATTAAAGGTTGGACCCTTGTGGTGATGGATATGGAAAATGTTCTGAGGCACAACTGTCAATGTCAACATCTTGACTGTGATTCTGTGCTGTGGTTTTGCAAGATGTTCTAATTGAGAGAAACTGATGTAGGGTACAGTTTTATTTCTGTACTGTATTTCTTAGAACTGGATGTGAATGTATATTTATTTCAAAATAAAAGATTATTGAAAGAAAGGGAAAATTTAAAAAAGGAAAAGAGATGGCTTATAATACCTATCAATCCATAGCTAAGCAGGCCAGGAAGGCCCTGTACCTGCTTGAGTGGTCTTTTCTGCAGAGAATGCATCACTGCAAACTTCCTGGAGGAAAATAAGCTGCCTACATGATGATTTCCCAAGAAAGTCAAAGATCTTAATTCTCAGAGCAATTCTTTCCATTGGGGTTTCTGGGATTGCTCTCAGAACTCACATGTGGATCCTGCCTGCTCTTTCCAAATAGTGGTGGCCATTGCTCTAGGCAAGTACTTCATTTTGCCAAAAGGCAGTATCACCCACCTTACTTGTGAGACATCTTATTTAGGATTAATCACCCAGATGACACATATTTTATTACTCATAGAATATGATATCTAGAAGTTTATAGGTACCGCATCTTAAAAGTGTATAGGGTTTTCATGTTGACATGCACCAAGAGTCTCATGCATATTATCTAAAGGATTTATGAATGCTTTTCAACTGTAAAACAATATGGTATGTGCAGATAAAATAGCTCTTTCTTCTAACATTTTCATTTCTGGTATTTTAAGCATATTATTTATATTTATATTTATTTATATCTTCAAGGAAATTTAGGAAAGAAAGTGCCCAAACACGGAATTATTTGCCTGACTGGCAAAAAGATGAATGAGTTGTGAATGGGATGAAAGTGGGCTTCAAGCTATCTGATATGAGAAGATATCAGATGACAGAGAAAGCAAGCTGCAACTATAATCCCTGGGAAAGTGAACTATAGTCAACCTGATGAGTAGTTTGGTGGAGCAGGAGTAGTGAGATGTCTTCTAGACAAAACACCCCAGCTCCTTCCCTGATCTAGCCTCCCTTCCCACCAGAGGGTTGAAACCTACTCTTTTGGATGTTGGGCCTTTCCATGGTGAGTATACATTATTTTGTATTTAGCTTTAGACCATATCAGCAAACATCTAAGAACATACTGTTAAACAAATAATGGTGCTGGCATTTGCTGGGGAGTGAGAGAGAGTAAAGTGGCAAACTGAGGAGAGAAAAGCTCTGAATTGTTCCCAATCCATGGCACCTCTACTTTGAAATCTACACCAACCGTTATCTTTAGTCTAAAGAATGTGTCATGCACATGTACCATTATTTCTATAAATGGACAGGTGGCAGGTAGATGGATACTATTTTTTAATTATTTATTAATTTATTCATATGTGCAAACATTGTTTGGGCCATCTCTCCCCTCTGCCCCCGCCCAATCCCTCCTTCCCCCTCCCACCTCCCTCGCTTCCAGGCAGAACCTATTCTGCCCTCTTCTCCAATTTTGTTGAAGAGAAAACATAAGAGAGAATAAGAAAGACATAGCATTTTTGCTAGCTTGAGATAGAGATAGCTACACAGAGAGATTCCTAGCATTGCTTCCATGCACATGTGTATTACAACCCAAATTGGTTCATCTCTACGAGACCTCTTTTTTTATGTAAAGATTTTACTAAAATCACAGTGGCTTTTGCAATTTTGTACTTTCTCAATCTCTTTAATTCTATATATATTCTCTGAACCTCTACTAAAACACAGACTTGCTCTGTGGTGCCTTATAGAGCTTGCTATCACGTCCCCAGTTTAGTAAAGCAATACATTCACACTACAATGATTCAACATAGTGGGGAGTACAGACAAGAATGCGGAATATTCCAAAGCAAAGTGATAAATACGTGGAAGAAAATGAGAATGAAGCCCCATAGGTACAGAAGAGGGGTCCTAATTCCTATTTAGGGAGCTCCAAAAGAAGGGTAGAGGTTAGATTAGTGTCGGGGAGGGCATGCGAAGGGTATATTCCAGGCTAACTGCAGCAGACATTGGGGAATTGAGTATTTTCCTGTAGCAAAAAATATTTTTACCCTTTATAATATAGTTTTAGAAATGTACCAACCTCTGCTATATATATATATATATATATGTATGTATATATACATATATATATATATATATATATATATAGTTTTTGAGGTATTGGGGTTTAAACTCAAGGCTTCAAGCTTGCCAGACAAGTGCTCTACCACTTGAACCATGCATCCAGCCATTTTGCTCTGGTTATTTGGACATGGACTCTCACTTTTTGCCCAGGTTGGCCAATGATTCTCCCAGGTTGACTGTGAGTCTCCTGTTTTAGGTTTCCTGCCATCACTGGATGACAGCTACACACCACCATGCCCAGCTTTTTCTGTTGAGCTGGGGGGTCTCACAAACTTTTTTGCCACTTTGGCCTGGAAATGTGACCTTCTTCATTTTAGCCTCCCCAGTAGGAAGGATTGCAGGCATGAGCCCAACTCACTGCTATATGTTTATGTATATAATTTCATATAATCCTTATGAAAACACTTTGAGGAATAATTCCTATTTTAAACCTCTATGGGTTTTGTGGCTATTAAGGATACCCTCAACAATTAAGCCCAAGCAGGTTCCCTATATCATCCTTCTTTGTTTATCTCCCTCCAGGATTCCCCAGCATTTAGTCTTTTACTGTCTTGGAAATGGAGTTGCTGCTTATTAGCTCCTCCCTTTGGGATTTTGTCCCACAAGACCAACTAGAGAGAAAGACAAATTATTCAGCAATTTGTCATCTCCAAACACAAACACACAGAACTTCTCCTAGAAAAATAATTCAGAAAATGTATTAGATAGTATAAAAAAACTTGTAAAACATCAAAAACTTGTACATGTAGGATTTGACTGTAGATAGTCAAGAACTCCTTAAAAATTCCTTCAGTTATTTGGCTTGAGTCCCTTTCTACTATGGTGTTCTTCAATGATGCTTTCTTTCATTCCAAAAGTTGTATCATATCAAACATTCTCTACCATCAAATTTTAGGTTTCCTTTAGCTATAATATATGCAGGGCCTTTCAAAGATGTGGGCCAGGAGGCATGAAATGTAAACTATAGGAATAAATGAGTGTCCATTCATTAATACCCACTGAGTCAAGTAGATCCTGTGCATTTGGGTGGGGAGGACTCCTTATCTAAGTGCTACCATTTCAATGGGACTCTTGTCCCCCCTATAAGCAGTCCTTCCCCTGAAGTTCTTACAATTTTACACCCAGGAGTTTATCTTTATTTAATGTTCTCTGTCTTCTCAAAAATTCAAGAAATAAGTATCTCAAAGATCTCTTCCAAAGCTGTTAACTTGTGTCAAGGACAGTGGCCATGATTCCCAGTTCAGATGAATTTCTATAGAATCCATATCTATATGTTCAAGTTTAGTTGGAAGTTTATTTAAAATTCAGCTAGGTGATTCAGAATACAAAGTCAGCACTGATCATGGCCCAACTAAGGGCCGTTTTCCTTTCACTCCATATCATATATGTTCTCATATATCTTGAGTGTTTTTGTAGTGCAAACATTAAAAAATATCTCTGATGTCCATTAATGGAACTCTGCTTCTTCTAGACATGTTAGACATAGGCAGAGGTACCTATAGATACCTGACATCAGCTCTTCTTTTTAAATAATAGGAAATTAAGCCAAATTAATTAACTTAGTCCTGGATAAGATGAGCAAGTCTCCTACTTGAGGTTGATGAGAACTCTCCTCTTCAGCTCAGTGAACAAGTATGGAATGCAAATAGCATGGCTCTACTTCTAAAGCCAAGGATCTAGTAATGGGGTTTGACACACCTAGTTGCTAGTGTGTATTTTTATATTAGCATATTTTTGTTGTACTGGGATACACTGTGACATTTACAAAAGTGCTTATAATAGATCTCAGTTAGATTCACCCCCACCCCCTCCATCATTTTCTTTTATTCCCTCTTCCCCCTTTCTTAGAATGGTTTCAGCAGGTCTCATTGTTCCATTTTCATACATGAGTACATGATATTGCCTCCATATTCACCTCCTACACCCTTTCCTTATAGCCTCCCTACTTAGTGTATTCATTTTTGTGACCTTTTCTTGCTTTAGAAACTGGCAGCAACCTAAGACAGTGACTTACTTTTTTTTGGTGGCACTAGATTTGAACTCAGAGCCTCAGAGCATTGCTAGGCAGATGCTCTACAACTTAAGCCACTCCTCCAGTCTGTAACTTTCTTTTTAAAACTTACTCTTGGTGTTTCTAAAATTTAAGATTAACAAAAACGTGTTTGTGTTTTTGTAAAGTTGAAATAAATGAAGTCTACCTTAATCGAGTTTATACATACAATAATAAACTGAACAAGGTATTAGAATTTAACAGTTAAAAGCATGGCCTGTAAGATGAGATGGCCCAAGATTCAAACTCCAGACATAAAACTTAAGCTTCATATAACACTAGGCAAATTACTTAGCCTCTATGTGTTGCAGTTTCTTCATCTGTAAAAGGAAGTTGCTCATTATAGGACCATTGTTAGATTTAAGTGAGTTAACATATACAAAGCCCTTAGGACAGTGCCTGGTACACACTGAGTATAAAACGAATATGTGTTAATACTATTACTGTTATCACTGAAAATGATTTGAAATTTGATACTATTTTGATATTTAAGAACATCTGTGAAAATTTAATGGTCTGGATCCCAGTTTTAACTTATTTCCCTCTTGCT